AGAGAGAGAGAGAGAGAGAGAGAGAGAGAGAGCGAGAGAAAGACAGAGAGCGAGAATGAGAGGGAGGGAGGAGAGAGAGAGAGAGCGAGAGAGAGCGAAAGCGAGTGAGAGAGAGAGAGAGTGAGAGTGAGATTGCGAGTGAGAGTGAGAGATAGGAGAGAATAAGAGAGACAGTGAAGGAACGAAGGACGGCTATGTCAACCTGACTAGAAGCTACATGAGTTTGCGCAACTCGGCAATTCACAGGCAACTCGGCAAAAAAAACACGCAAATTTCCGGCAAAAGGCCGAAAACAAAACGTTATTCTCGTCTCCGTCGCCATGACGACGACCATTCTCGCGCGCTCACGTCGTAAAATCTCCTCGAAACGAAAAAAAAAAAAACGCGATAAAAAGCACGAACGGTCGACGGAAATGACGCCGGCATCTTACCGAGCGTTGTAGATGGCGCCGGCATCGCCGTCGTCGGTGCCGCAGCGGAGACGGTAGGGGGCGCCGACGCGGCGAGCAGCGGGCGAATGCTCGACATTCCCACGGGTGTGAGCGTCGGGATGCTGGCGAGCGTCGCCGCGGTAACGGGCCGCAACGATGGCGCAGCGTTCATGCTCGTCGCCGCGGTGATGGCGTGCTGGTAGAGTTGTTGTTGTTGCTGTTGTTGTTGTTGTTGTTGCAGTTGCTGCGGTTGTTGTTGTTGTTGTTGTTGTTGTTGCAGTTGTTGTTGCTGCGGTTGTTGTTGTTGTTGTTGTTGTTGTTGCAGTTGTTGTTGCTGCGGTTGTTGTTGTTGTTGTTGTTGTTGTTGCAGTTGTTGTTGTTGCGGTTGTGGTTGGTGTTGTTGTTGAACTTGTAGCTGTGGTGGTTGCTGCTGCTGTTGCTGTGGTTGTTGTTGTTGTTGTTGTTGTTGTTGTTGTTGCTGCTGCTGCTGCTGTTGCTGAACTTGTAACTGTGGCTGCTGTTGCTGTAGTTGATGTTGTTGTTGTTGTAACTGTTGTTGCTGCTGCTGCTGTTGCTGCTGCTGCCCTTGCAATGCCTATGTCATCCAATAGAAGACAAGGAGTTAACAATCACTTGAGCAATGGTCCTGTCATAAGGTTTCATGCAAATTGCACAACATGAACAGGAACATCATATTAGTATTAGTTAGGCCACCCTTAAAAAATTGTTTGTTTCCCCTTTACCTACTCGCCTCTCAGGGTACCGAGTAGGTAGGTAGGTGAAAAATCTTTTTTATTTTGTTTTGACAAGATGTGTATATTGTATATTCTGTTTTGTGTATTTTTTTTTTTTAATCGGCCAATAAAATGTGTCGAGTAGCGGCGTTTTGGCAAGTCGGTCGGTAAAGGGGAAGCAAGCAATATTTTATCTTAGGCCTTATCCATATTAGCTCATTCTAATTGGCAAATGTTAAGCTAAGTTTACACTACAGACTTTGTGCANAGAGAGAGAGAGAGAAAGAGAGAGAGAGCGAGAGAGAAAGAGAGAGCGAGAGGAGAGAACGAGAGCGAGAAGGGGGAGGGAAAAGAGAGCAATAGATACATAAAAGAGTATATATGGCAGTAGATCGGAGCAGGAGAACGCTACTAGCGTACTGAGCCACTTATTTACTCTAGTATTTATGTATCGCAGGGTCGAATACTAACGGACATAGTATAATAACAAATCAATCAATCAATAAAAGATAGCAAACCTCCGCCACAGCGTAACAGTCCCCCCATCTTGCTTCTAAGTTGGTTGTTTCTAACCCTATATCACGTTGAGAGAAAATAATATCTGATTTTATCAAATAGGAACAGTAACAATAGCTTAGTGTACCATCTCGCTTTATTCAAACCCTCATAGTCCGGCAGAAAAGATGGCTTTTTTGTTTGAACCTTGCAATTGGGTATATAGTTTTTTTTTTTATAATTGGCCTAAAAGTTTGCCTTCATAGTCTACTTCAAGGTCCACACAGATGTCCAGCTCTGGGAGTGGTGGGGAGAATTTATCTCTATAGCCTCACCTTTATTTATATACTAGCTGCGGGTACCGCTGCGTCAAAATGTGTACTAATTCATACTACTAATAATCGACGCAATAGGAGATTGGTAAAAATGGAGATAAATTGGCACCAATATCAATATTTACATCAGTCTATATAAGATATAAGCTGCGGTAAAAAACTTGTTACGTTATGACATTTTATATACAGCACAACCAATTAGAACCTGGATCAATGAATAGGTACCTGATGTGTAAATGACAGTTATTATAGCAGGCATTGTACGAATGGGTGTGCAGACTTTTCATGTTCAAAGCTCTTGATAAGGCAACGTTTTTCGTCTTATCTCGGGTGGTGCAATATGTAGAGTTCCGTGGCGTCCGCCAGGCTAGTGTGGGGCTGCCCCACGGTGACCTGTACGTGGTAGAAGCGAGGCGTGGGCCGAGTGCAGGACGGAGACAGGGACGCGAGCGGTTCGGCCCTGGGGCGTGCGGTTTGTTGAGTGCTCATTGGCGAAGCTTAGTTTTGGTATGGGGATTGTATTAATTCTGTGAGGACTTTAAGTGACAGGATGTTGGGGAGGAGGCGTCCCACACGTTGTCATTACTGACAGATGAAGTGCCGTGTAGAGATTTTCTATAGGGCTTAGTAATTCAGAGAACGAGAGCACGCTAAGCGAGACATGAAGAAGCAGCCATCGAAGACGGCGAATATGCGCACAAGAGAGAAGAAGAGTCATTGTGAGGGGCAGATGACAGCAGATGGTACGTTCTGTGCTGGTACTATTACCTCGATAGAGGGCTTAACTCTATGATAATGCAGTCACGCAAGGAAGGCAGAGCTGTTAGCGGATTATTAGTGTACAGTGATTAAAGCTTCCAGTATATTCCGACTGTTACTCGAGCCATGCCTGCAGGTTGCGAACTTGTTCCATGGTGCACGGGATGGCGGAGTAGAGCAAGATGTACACTCTTCGAGGAGGGAAATGCAGCTTTAGCGGTTCTTGGGATCAATTGCTGCAGCTGACTTTGGATGATGTGTTGGCTGCCAGTCCGACAGGTTTTTTGTCTCAGCATGGATACAACTATGATGATGCGGTCTGTGAGTCAACGATTGAAAGCGTTGGAAGAGACAAAGGACGGTAGAAAAGGGCAGGGCAGGTGCAGCCGAAGCTGTGCGACGGTCTGCCACGCACATGAGGCATTCAAAGAAAATGTCAAACGAGCACACTATCAGTGGCTGCATCTGGCGCCATGCGACTATGCAAGGATCCATGGACTTGATGTCCGACGGATTAGTGGTGGGTAGGGATGAAGGAAATAAGTCCTAAGCTGGTCACTCCTCCCTGTTAGAATCCGAGAGGCGGCAGATTCTACTCTGCTCATCGAAGTGTTCCGTTGTGTCTTGGAGAGTCCATGGCAGTGCGAAGGGCTGGTGTTGTAAAGTTGTAGACTGGGTGTACAATGTTGTGCAATTGGTCAGGGAGTGCTGCGTGTTGTGGATGGAACAATCTCTCCNTTAAAAATGTTCGCTTAAATATCGAGATTAGCATGCTACATCTAATTAGAAATTGGTCTAAGCCAAATCAAGAAATTGCCGAAAGTACGGGACACTAGTTCAACCTATAACAACCATTAGCTGGCGTATACAACGTTTAAAAAGTTCGTTATAAAGATAATGGTGTGTGTGTGTGTGTGTGTGTGAACGCGTGCGCGTGTATGACGATGATGGCGACGTGTTTGCGGCAGCCCCAATACCAAATCCAGCGAAATCTTAGGATAGAAACAGAGACGCAAAGAAGGGGTCTGTAACGCCGACACCATCGACATGTATGCCAAATCTTTAGCAGGAACAAGACCAAGACAAGT